TGAAACAATTTGAAAAATTGATGAAATGAGTAGTTTTCTTAAGAATGCTATTTACCAAAATGATCTGTTAGAGATAGAAAAATGTTGTGAGCATCATGTCAATGTTTGAAAAGTTTCAGATTTTAGATTTTTCAAATTACAAATGCTTAACCTATAAACATGTTAGTAAATAAAACCAAATGCCATATTACAGATAATATAGTATTCTGGAAAAACCATACATAATCAATTCTAAAATTTACCTTGTAAATTATAAAGCCAATTTAAAATAACTTATAAAATGAAAGATTTAAGACAACAGTTAATAAATTAAATGTAGAAATTAGTAGCCTTCAGATACATGATAAATACCCAACTAAAGGATATGACAGAAAAAAGCTCATTTATAATATAGGAAATTATATATAAAATATTTGGCAAATACTTTATACTAAGAAATATGAAAACTTTTTTGAGGAAACCTGTAAGAAATTGCTAAAAGACACAAAATTAGACTTGAACAATTGGAAAAACACTCTTTTTTCTTGTCCACAACACTCAGTATTGTAAAGCTGTCAGTTCTACCTAAATAAATTTATATGTAAACATAGCCACAATAAGAATACCTACTAGATTTTTTTATGAGGGTAGATAAGTCAAATTGAAGTTCATACAACACAAAAAGTAAAGCTACAAGGAATTCTAACTCTACTAGATTATTAAGTTATTCTGTAACACCTTTTTTAATTAAAATAGTATGGTCCTGGCACATGACTAGATAAACAGATGGGTAGAATAGAAAACAAAAAAAAAATACCTAAGAAAGACCCAAGTGCACATAGAAATACAGTATATAATAAATGTAACATCTCAAGTCAATGGGGCTTTAAGTGATGGACTTATTAATAAATGGTGTTCAGCCCCCTAAGGGGGAAACTAATTATATCCGTACTCACACCATATACAAAAATTAGCTCTAATACAATTGACAACAGAACACACAACTGCCCGGATGTGGCAGTATACTTCTATAATCCCAGTACTCAAGGGTGAGGCAGCAGGATCACAACTCCAAGGCCAGCCTGGGATACTGTCAAGACCCTGTCTTGAAAACAAAGAATGAAAACACAACATAGGTATAACAAAGGTTTTTTTGTAACTATGAATCAAAATTCAGTTGTTATAAAAGATTGGCCCATTTGACCACTTTAAATTTTTTAAAAACTTTTTCGCAGCCACAAAAAAGCTTTTGGAAAACAACATGAAGATGGTGAAAAAAAAAAAAAAAAACAACTAGATTCCCACTGTATTATAGAACTCTTACAATAGGGGTAATAAAGACCACAAGCCAAATAGAAAAATGGATAAAAGATGTGAATGCAGTGGTCCCTCGTTTTCCTTAGTTTCACTTTCCAGTTTAAGTTACCCATGGTTAACCAACATCCAGAAATATTAAGTGGAAAATTCCATCAGTGAGAATTAAAGTTTTGAATCAGGCACTGTTCTGAGTAGCGTGATGAGATCACATACTGCCCTGCTCTGAGTGTGACTCACCCCTTTCCAGTGTAACCACACTGTGTGCATCACCTGCCTGTTAGTCACTTAGTGGCCACCTCTGTCATAGACCAGCTGTCATGGTACCACAGTGCTTGTGTTTAAATAACCCCTATTTGAATTAAGAATGCCCCCAAAGTACAAGAGGAGTGGCGCAGGCAATTTGGTTATGTCAAAGAGAAGCCATAATTCCTTTAAGTGAAAAGGTGACAATTCTCAACTTCAGAAAAAAAAAATGCTGTGGTTACATTTTTTTTCTACAGTTAAGGAAAAATCTAAGCCAGGCTTGGTGGTACTGACCTGTAAGCATAGTGCTCTGGAAACTGAGGCAAGAAGATCTCAAGTTTGAGGCCAGCCTGGGCTACACAATGAGACTCTGTCTCAAAAAAAGAAAAGGTTGGGCATGATGGCTCACATCTGTAATCCCAGCTACTCAGAAGGCTGAGATCAGGAAGATTGTAGTTCAAGACTAGCCTGGGTAAAAAGTTAGCAAGACTTCATCTCAGCAAATAAGCTAGGGATGGCATGTGTCTGTAATCTCAGATATGTGAAAGGTATAGATAGGAAAATTGTCAGGGACTGGCCCCAGCAAAAAATGAGACCCTATCTAAAAAAATAACCTAAAGCAAAAAGGGCTGGAGGCATGACTGAAGTGGTTGAGCACCCTTCTAACAAGCACAAGGCCCTCAGTTCAAACCCCAGTACTATCCTCCCCACCCACCAAAAAATAAAAAAAAAAAAACAAATCTTTTATGCAGTTGTGAAGAAAAAGAAATTCATGCTGATCTTGCTATCACATCTCAACTGATAAGAGTTATAGTTACAGTGTGTGATAAGTGCTTAAGTAAGATGGAAAAGCACTAAATGTATGTATGTATGTATGTATAATATGAACATAGGTAAGTTTCACTACTATGCCTGGTTTCAAAAATCTGCTGGGGGTCTTGAAACACCCTCTGCAGATAAAGAGTGACTACTATCCATGAGTCACGCAAAACAAGATACAAAACTTGTCCTTCCTCTTACAGGAAACTAAAGGAGGAGGAAAAAAAGAAAAGAATGATAGTGAATAATAATGAAATACATCTGTGTAGGAACAAGACACGAGGAAACACTGAAAACTATTGAATAACACAAGGATAAAGGGGAAAGGGTGAGGAAGAGTAGTGGAGAGGGTTAGACTGATTTAAGCACAATGTATTTATAGGTAAAATACTAAGACAAAATTCCCCACTTGAACAATAAACAGACACTTAAACAATGAAGGTCAGGAATATAAAACAGGTCATGTTAAGGAAAGGACACTAGTGGGAGGGGGAGGGTAAATGAAGAGGGTAAAGAGGGTGCATACGGTGGATGTGCTTCACATACAGGTAGGAATATGGAACATCGAAACCTTTTGAAGTTAGATAAGAAGGGGTATGGGGTAGCAGGGGGAATAAGGGAGGGAAAGTGTCCTTACACATAAGATATGTCAACCTTAGTCATTATTATAAAAAAGTAAATTAAAGCTACACTAAAATTTTTTACCTGTGAGATTAGGGGAAATATGAAAACACTTTTTTTTTTTTTTTTTTTTGGTGAGTCTGAGAGGGAAGAGATACTCAGGCATTCCTGGTGGAAATGCAGACTGTACAGCCCTTGGGAGGGAAATGTCAGTATCTAGCAAAACAACATATGCACCTTCCCTTCAACCCAGCATTTCACCTCTTAGAATTTATCCTAAAGACATACCCCAAGAAATATGAAAATACATTTATAAAAGGATTTTCATTGCAGGCTGTTTATAATTGTGAAATATTCTAGACCATGTCAATAGCTAGATATAAGAGATATAAGAGAGTGGTTGAATAATTTTATCTCCATGCCTTGGAGTTCTCTGCAACTTATCAACAATAATAGTAGTAATAATAATAAACTTATATGCAACATACGAAAGAATATGATAGCATTTTTTAAAAAGAGGAAATAAGAAAATACACCTAACTGCTAAGTTGTGTAAAAATACAAGAATGACAGTCCAGAGCCTAATGAGATTGGTTACTATAAATGGAGAGAAGAAAGGATTGGGGAAGTGATAATGGGATGGAAGAGATGGGGGTGTGACATTTCTTTAAGTATCCATTTTTGTATAATTTTGACTTTTAGAACTGTTATCAATATTTGAATGTCAAAATAAATGATAATAATGACCAATTAAAACACATAGTATAAAATAAGAATCCAGCAGTCCATAACAACATAAATAAACACATGAATAAACAAACAGAAGGGTATAAGAAACTAGGAAATCTCTCTTGAAAACCCAATGGTGGCTTATGCCTGTAATCCTACCTATGCTGGAGGTAGAGATCAGAATGATCATAGCTTGAGACCAGCCAGAGCAAAAAGTTTATAGCAGTTTTGTCTGTAAATTTACTCTGAAACTATTATGTACATATATAGAGAAACTAAAGCAAACAATAAATTAGTTTTTCATTGCTGTGACAGAATAAAAACAGCATAAGGGGAGAAGGATTTCTTTTAGCCCACAGTTTCAGAGGTTTCAGCTCATGGTTACTTCTGGGTCTGTGTGTGGTGAAACAAGAATATCATGGTGGAAGGACATTTAGAGGAAATTTGCTCACCTTGTGGCAGTCAGGAAGTACAGAGGAAAAAAGAATGAAAGGGTCCAAGAACAAGATATGCCCTTCAAAGGCATACCCCCGGTGACCTGCTTCCTCCAGTTGAGCTCCAACTTCCTAATAGCCCAGTGAGCCATGAACTCATCAATAAATTAATCCACTAATTTTCAGCAATCATGTAAATACTAATACATGTTCAAAATAGGTAATGGTTACATTATGTCAATTATTTACTTTCCTGTATGTTTAAAGTACTTACAATACTAATTTTAAATATACCTACTGAACTGAAATCATTTATTGGCATGGCCTCAAACCTTTAGGAAGACGCTTTATGAGAAAGAGCCTAAGTTTAAAATATTATATGAAAATCTGTCTGATATATTATAAGATACATGCTACCCTATTTAGTGTGGAAATATTCAAGTATATTAAAAACGTAGATGACCTCCGTCAGTGAATTTAAGCAGGTCAGAAAAGTGATAGAGTACATGCCTATAAGCGTGAGGCCCTGAGTTCAATCCCTAGTACCGCCTAAAGAATAAATAAAGATTTGGGCTTTCCAAGTGGCAATTTATGATACAGTGTTCGCTCGTCTTCAAAATAAGAAGTAGAAGGATAGAGTAGTGGTAGTAAGGTTTTACAAATTTTAATTCATTTAATTTAGAAGATTTGCCACTATTCTAGGAACTTTTCATCCTCTGTTGATCATACTTTTTGTGTGTGTGAAATGATGGTTATGAGAAGAAGGTAGTTTGGGATCTTATTTAGTAACACCCTTTCTTGACAGAATTAAAGATAAGAACCCTGTATTAATCAACATTTTGAGAAATTACTGGTCTTAAAATGTAGTGCAGTAGACCTTTGGTATGCACAGATATATGGTTCCAGGGAGACCACTGTTGAGGAAAAACCACAGATACTCAAGATGCATAGAATTCAGTGCTGTATTGTGGATGCTTGATTCATTTTTCCCGTAATGCTGCCCAACTTCTAATAAAGACATGCTGCCCTTTCAATCAGTCCAAATTTTTCACTTTACCACTTAAATTAAGCATATTACTTGCTCTTTTTGGCTTGGGAGAATTACCAGAACTTTTACCTTGCTTTTGGGGTACCATTTGCTTTTTGGGGAGGTATATTTTCACAAAATTAAGGTCAGGGGAATACTCAGCAGATGACCCAACAATTTAAAAAGAACTGACAATAACACAAGACCAACTGAGAGCTTCTCTGCATCAACTGAGATGTGTAATGCACAGACAGAAATTTAAAACATTTTTTTACATTTCTTTTGATTATTTATTAATTTTTCTAACCACCATTGGCCCAAACCATGTATAATAAACCTACCAATAAGACAGGCTTACTGTATTTGTTTGAGAATGTCAAATTAATCAGTATTGTCTTCATTTAACTTCCCCTATAAAAATTGCTAGCAGAAATGGCAAGTTTGCTTAAAGTGAACAAGGAACCAAATATATCATAATCCAGACTTTGTACTCTAGGAAATGTATCTTTGATAAATTGAAGCAACTTGGTTCACTTGCTTTCTTCTTTATTTTCTCTATTTTAGGGCAAACACTGCATCCTCGATGTGTCTGGAAATGCCATAAAAAGATTACAGATTGCGCAGCTTTACCCAATATCCATTTTTATTAAACCCAAATCCATGGAAAATATCATGTAAGTGTGAATGCCTAAACTATAGCCTCTAAGTACAAATCTAAGGTAACATATTCTAACTTTAAATTTAAATAGCCATTAATGGCTAGTGGCTACTTAATTGATCAGTGAAACTCTAAGATAACCATTAGAACAAAATGAGTAAAAAAACTTACAGCTATCTAATAGAGGGCATATAATAGAATCTAAATTTAAAAAATTGAAAAAGAGAAGAAAGAACAAATAGAACAGATGGAGCAAAATGATATAGACAGTGGCGTGCTATAAATGAACCCAAATATTTCAATAACTTTCTAGTGTACATTTAAACACTACTGTCAACATCTGCAAAATACATGTTGATTTCAAATACACATGGAACAATTACCAAACTGTCTGCTGGATCATAAATTTCAAGTGATTAAAGACAAATATTCTCTGACTACAACAAAATTAAACTGGAAGTTAATAATAAAAAGGTAATAGCAGATCTCCATATATTTAGAAACTAAGCTTTATACTTCTGAATGAGCCAAAGAAGAAATCACAAAATAAATTAATGAATGCTTTGAACTAAATAGTAGTGAAGCTGCTGAATAAATTTGGAGCATGGCACAGCCTTTCTAAAGGAATATTAAGAATGTTGAAAAACAACCAGTTAAACTCAAAGAAGACAGAAAAGTAGAAATTAATTAAATGTAAATAAGCACACAGTAGATAGGATCAATAAAGCTGAAAAGTGTTTTCTTATAAGTTATTAAGAATGCTGAAGAAGGGCTCAAGTGGCAAAACGCTTGTCTAGCAAGCACAAGGCCCTAAGTTTAAACCCCCGTAACACACACACACTGATAAAGCATATCAATGTCCATATCAGGAATAAAAAAGGGAGTATCACTGCATATTTAGGAATCATTATAAAGTTCAACATAGGCAATCCAATAGAAATAATCTTGGACATATCACTGAAAGGATCTCCAAAAAAAATAAATGAGATGTGCTGGGTTTAATTATGGAAATAAGTTAAAACCATGTCATATACCACTACCTACACAAGAATGGCTAAAATGAAAAATACAGCACATCTTTATTGGCAACGATGTGTAGCAGCTGGAACTCAACAATGTTAGGAGTGTAAATTGGTGTCAATTTTACAACAATTTGCTTTGGTAAGTTATTTGCAGTATCTCCTAAAACTGAACTTATGCATAACTTATGACTGATCCAGAAGTCTCATTCCTAGATTCTTACTCAACAGAAATGCTTAACTCTTGTTGACTAAAGGCATGTATTTACTTGATGGTAGAGTACCATTCAAAATAACCAAAAAGCAGCTGGACTAGTGGTATGCACCTATAATCCTACCTCTTGGGAGGCTAAAGCAGGAGGATCCCAAGTTCAAAGCCAGTCTGGACTATATGGTGAGATCCCATCTCAGAGAGAGAGAACTAAAAACTAGAAACTCTCCAAGTGCCCATCAGTAGTAGAATACATAAATAATGACATATTCACAGTGAAACAGAAAATGAGCAGCAATCTCCAGCTACACACATACAAAAGTATGGAGGAATGTCACAATTTGAATAAAAATCCAGAGCTAGAAGTTTACAGAAGTCAAATAGAAGTTACCCTCTAAGAGTGGGTTGGTGACTAGAGAGAGCACACTTTGATTCTGGAGTACTGGTAATGTTGTGTATTTTGAGCCAAGTAGTAGGTACAAGGTATAGGTGGGTTTGTGAAAATGTATCAGGCAGCTCTTTCATGTTTGAAAATTATAATTCAAAAAAAAAATGTTAAGAAATAAAAGAACAAAAAGAAAGCCTAAATAGTCCTGTACTTGATTTTAAAAACGTGAATCTGTCCCAAGAAGCCCTTCCACAAATAAAACACTACAAGATGACCTAATGAATTCTACCAAAAGCTAGGAAGTAATGCAAATCTTGCTTAAATACGTCAACTAATTTATGAGCATTGCCTTGGCACTAAGACCTGATAGGAACTTTTCAAGAAAGGAAGATGATGACCCAGTCATAACCATGAATATAGATATAAATTGAATCCAACAATTAATATTTTCAAGTCAAGTCAAATATAATAATCAAGTAGGGAGGGTTTCTTCCTAGAACCCAAGGCTGGCTTAAATTTAAGGGTTAAAGGTATGGCTTTGTAGTAGGTTGCTTGCTTAGCATGTACAAAACCCCAAAAGAAAAAAAAGTGGTGAGTCTTGAGGGAAAATGGCAGAGTAAATGAGCTTGTGTCAATCATAGATGACATCTCCAAATAGTAAATAGCATTAGGTTCATCTCCCCTACCTACACAACAGTTGCACTGTTGTCAACATCTGGTGTAACATTGAAGTCTGTTGAAGACTTGCTATATCCTGGAGAAGGTTTAAAGGTTCATTTCAGCTCTTAGCATGTTGACAGCTACTCATCTCCCAACTCTCAGCCCCATCCATGCATGCATTCCTTGAGCACCTTGCATGCAATTTATGGGGGCCAATGTGGGCAATAGGGACCCTGTTTTCCAGATAGCAGGGATCTGTGCTTTGATAGCTGATTGCTACTTCTGATCTTGGAGGCAGTGAGCCATTGTTAAAAGGCTTATCTCCATAAGTATAAAGTAATTTTCAAAGATTTACATACACATACTCTCTCTTTTTCCCTCCAAAAGTATCCACGTATATGCAGGGGTGGGTGATTTAGTCACTGTGTATGACTATGGAAAGGCACAGTCTCAGAAAAAAAAAAAAACCTGAGAAAACCCTAACTTTACATCTCTTGCTGATGCTCAGCACAAATACTCTACAACAATAAATAATTAAATTTTAAATAAACAGCAAACCCTGGGGAAAGGAAAGTTTTGATATCTGTAGTTACCACATATAATTCAAATGTCCAGATTTCAACAACAAACATAAAAACCACAAGACATACCAAAGAAACAGGAAAGTATGACATGACTCAAAGAAAAAATAATAACTCAGTAGGAACTATCCATAAGAAAGGCCAGATGTCAGACTTTCTAGACAAAGACTTTAAAACAGCTGTCCTAAAGATGCTCAAAGAACTAAAAGACTTGGACAATATATGAGAAAAATGAATATCAATAAAGTAAAACCAGAGAATTCTGAAAAGAATAGTAACAAATAAATTCATTAGAGCGTTTCAAAAGCAGATTTGAGCAGCCAAAAGAAAGAATCAGCACACTTAAAGATAGGACAATGGAAATCATCACATCTGAGGAGGGAAAAAACACTGAAGAAAAGTGAACAGAGCCCAAGGAAACTGTGAGACACCATCAAGTAGACCAACATGCACATTTTGGAAGTCCCAGAAGGAGAAGAAAGAGAAAGGGTCAGAGAGATTATTTGAAGAAATAATGGCCAGAAACTTCCCACATTGGATGAAGGCCTAAACATCCAAGAATGTCAATGAACTCTATAATAACCTCAGAGACACTCCCTAAGATACATTATGATCAAACTGGAAGACAGAATGTTGAAAGGAAGAGAGGAGTGACTCATCATGTTCAAGAGGTTTCCCAATAAGGAGGGGTATGGTGGCTCAAGCCTACAATCATAGCTACTTGGGAGGTAGAGATCAGGAGAATCACGTGTAGAGGCCATTCTGGCAAAAAGTTCAATGAGACCCCATCTCAACCAGTGGTGTGTACCTGTCATCCCAGCTATATGGGGAAGCACAAATAGGAGGATCACAGTCCCAGACCAGTCCAGGTATAAAGCAAGACCTTATCTCAAAACTAACTAATGCAAAGAGGGCTGGGGGCGTAGCAAAGTGGTAGAATGCCTGCCTAGCAAGCATGAGGTTTTGAGTTCAAATCTCCAGTACTACTGAAAAAGAAAGAAAAAAAGATTTTTCAATAAGATTATTGCTAGAATTCTCATCAGAAGCTTTTAGAGATCAGAAAGCAGTGGGTTGGCTATGTTAAAAGCACTAAAGAAAACATCAACCATAAATTCTATACCTGACAAAACTGTCCTTCAAAAATGAGGGAGAAACTGAGTATGGCAATACACTCCTATAATCCCAACACTTTTGAGATGAAGGCAGGAGGATTAAGAGTTCAAGGCCAGCCTGGGCTGTATAGCAAGACCCACTGCAAAAAAAAAAAGATAGTCTCAGATATTAAAAAGCTGAGAGCCAGGGTGGCCCACACCTGTAATCCCTAGCTACTCAGGAGGCAGAGATCAGGAGGATTACAGTTTGAAGCCAGCCCAGGAAATAGTTCACAAGACCCTATCGTGAAAAAAACCACCACAAAAAAGGACTGACGGAGTGGCTCAATTTGGAGGCCCTGAGTTCAAACCCCAATAGCATGAAAGGGCACTAGACAGCAGCTATACCAAAAATAAAGAAGACCTGCTTCGTGTCGAAATACCGCAAGCTTTCCCTCACAAGCTAAAAATAAACTTCCAGCTACTTGTCATTGAGCTATAGCAAAATTTATCAACTTGAAATCAGTCTTGTTTCACCCATCCCCCACCTCCTTTGCCCTCCACCCCAGATTATTTTTAAACAAATGCTAGACATTGTATCATTTCAGCCATATATTTGAGATAATTGCTTAATTAAAAACATCACCTATCATACATAAAATAATTGTTTAATATCAAATAATTGAATTTTTCTTCATTATTTCCTAAGTTTTGTGTATGCTTTTTTCAATTTGTTTCTTCAGCCAAGCTCTAAGTAAGGTTTGTTCATGACAATTAGCTAAGTTTTCAAAACTAGAGTAACTTTTTTGGTTTTGGTAGTATTGGGGCTTGAACTCAGGGCCTCACGCTTACTAGGCAGGTACTCTACCACTTAAGCCACTCTGCCAGCCCATTAGGTAAGTTTTTAAATCTATAAATTCTTCCTCCTCTTTCTCCTACCTACCTCCACCCCAATTTAAAGAAACCAGGGTATTTCCTCTGCAGTTTTCCCCAGACTGTGTTTTCTAATTGCCTTAATATGTTCATGCTTCCCCTTTATTTTCTCTAAGTTGGTAGATAGATCTGTAAGTATTATTTCAATATGAAATTTGCATCAGAATCAAAACTATCATAAATTAATGCCTAGGTTTTTTGGCTACTTTGAGCCAATACAAAATGTGTGTTGAAACCCATTTATCATTCCAACTATAAAGCAACAAAATCAGTGACTGAATCTATTCTTAATGTCATACTTTCAGCAAAAGTCACCTTTTCATTATTTTATATTTAATCTGTCTTTTTTCCTTTCATCTTTTTCAAAAATAATTTAAAAGTATGGTAATTACCAATTTCTACATTTTGTAGGGAAATGAATAAGCGTCTAACAGAAGAACAAGCCAGAAAAACATTTGAGAGAGCAATGAAACTGGAACAGGAATTTACTGAACATTTCACAGGTTAGAACCATGTATGAAAGTGCTCGTGCTAGCAGAATTTTCCTATATCCATGTCTGTAATAGCAACTAGTACTGCCATTTCAAAGTGAAGCCTGTGGTCTGTGGTTTTGTCCTGTGGGAAATTTACCTAGCCTAGGCAGTGGTAATGGGGAATCTTAAAATTTAGTGTTTCTTAGGTTGTTAATTAGGATAGCATATAAAGGGATAATTCATGCTTGACCAGAGAAAAATAGATTTAGATTTTGTGCATGTGTGTTGCTGGAGATTGAACCCAGAGCCTTGCACATGCCAGCCTAGAGGTGTACCATTGATCTGCATCCCTAGCCACATTTAATCCATTTTCTTTTCCCTCAGTATTGCGGTTTAAACTCAGAGTTTCACACTTGCTAGGCAGGTACTCTGCCAATTGAGCCACACCTCCAGCACCTTATCCTTTTTGTAACTGAAAGTGTATACCCTTTGACCTCATTTCCTCTACCTTCTAGCCCCTGGCAACCACCATTATGAGTTCAACTTTTTTAGATTCTACATATAAATGAGATCATAGAGTATTTGTTTTCCTGTATCTGGCTTATTTCACTTAGCTTAATGTTCTCCAGATTCATGTTATCACAAAGGACAGGATTCTTTCTTTTTTATGACTGAACAATATTCCATGGGTTATATAAACCATATTTCCTTTATCTATTCATCCATTAACAGACAGATGGTTTCCAGATCTTGGCTGTTGTGAATAATGTTGCAGTGAACAGAGAAGTGCAAATGTCTACTGCACTTCTCATTTCATTTCATTTCCTTTGGATATATACCCAGAAGTGAAATTGCTAGATCATGTATGTCTTTAGTCTATTTTCTGCTGCTAGAATACCACAAACTGGGTAAATTATAAGCAAAAGAAGTTTATTTAGTTCACTGAGACTGAGAATTCCAAAAACTAGGGACTGCAGCTGGTGAAGGCCTCCTTGCTGTGATATAGCATGGCAGAAGGGCAAACAAGCACACATGGGAGAGGCGAGGAAAGGGGATGAACTTGTAACAAACCCTCTCTAATAACCTAATCTTTTTTTTTTTTTCGGCAGTACTGGGGTTTGAACTCAAAGCCTTGTGCTTGAGCCACATCTCTACCCCTTTTTGCTTTTAATTATTTTGGGGATAGGTTCTCATGTTTTCGCCTAAACATTGGCTAGCCTAAACAGTGATCCTCTTATGCTCCCACATAGCTAGAATGACAGGTGTGCACCGCCATGCCCAGCTGTTGATAGAGATGGGTTTCAGTAACTTTTTGCCCCAGGCTGGCCCGAAACAGCAGTCTTCCCGATATCATCCTCCCAAGTAGCTAGGATTGCAGGTGTGAGCCACTGGTCCTGCCCAAGGTGCCACCTCTTAATGCTGCTACATTGGCAGTTAAACTTCATCAGGAGTTTTGGTGGGGACATTGAAACCATAGTAATACAGTAATTGTGTTTTTAATTGTTTGAGTAACCTCCATAGATATGGAGGTTATCCATTAGTAAATTACTACCTTCCCACCAGCAGTGCACACGGGTTCCCTTTGACCACAGCCTCACTAACACTTGGCTATCCTAACAGGTTGTGAGGTGGTGATACCTCCTTGTGGTTTTGATTTGCATTTCTTTGATGATTAATGATGTTGAGCACTTTTTCATATGCTTGTTGGCCATTTGTATGTGTGTCCTTTCTCTGGGGTTTTGCTATTAAGTTATATGTGTTCCTTACATATTTTGGATGTTAACCACTTATCAGACATGGTTTGCAAATATTTTTTCCCCTTCCATTGGTTGCCTTTTCATTTTGTCAAAATGTTTCCTTTGCTGTGCAGAAGCTTTTTCATTTAATATAGTTCCACTTATTATTTGTTGTTTTTTGCCTGTGCTTTTGGTGTCATATTCAAAACATTATTGCCAAGACCAGAGTTAAGGAGCTTTTTCCCTTTTTTTAGAAGTTTTAAGCTTTCAGATTTTACATTCAAGTCTTTAATCCATTTCAAGTTAATCTTTCCAAATGATATAAGATCTGATTTCATTCTTTTACATGTGGCTATCTAGTTTTCCCAATACCATTTATTGTGGACACTAGCATTTCTCCATTGTATATTTTTGGAGCCCTTGTACCAAGAAGTTTTTCTGAAAACATAGATTGCCCTTTAGTTCTAAATATATTACTGTGATTCCCAAATAACAGGGACATTCTCTTATATATTCATAGTGCTATTAATCAAAATTAGAATATTTAATGTTGATATATTTTGCCTAACCACAGATTTTATTTGCATATTGCAAGTTATTTTACTTGCCTTTAGCATGACTTTAGGTTGTGAGCTGGTCTGGCTGTACAGATAGGTGTTTCTTTCCTCCTTCACTGCTCCATGTCTGCCTCTCCCAAAACTGCACCCTCAGTTGAAGAGGATGGCCTGGCTGGATAGGGAGGGACATTCTTCAGTCAGGGGTATACAAGTAGCTGCATATTCCCGGTTGAACCTTCAAACAAGTTCCTAATGCCTTTATAGCAAAATGAAAAAAAAATGCTTTTCCTGTTTGCATGACCAGTCAAGGACCACACACTGCATTAAGTGATCCTGTCTTTAGTCTACTTTAATCTGGAACAGTTTGTCAGTCTTTACTTGTTATTCATAACCTTGACTTTTTTTTAAGAGTAAATGTCAGTTCTTTTGTAGAATCTCTTATTTAGGTTTGGGTTATGCATTTGGTGTAGGAATATCAAAGAAGTAATGATGCATCCACTGTGCATCATACAAGGTTTAGGGTGTTGATTTGAACTCTTACTGGTAATGTTTGTTTTTATCATGTGGTTAAGTTGTCTGTATACCTTATTCTTTCCTAGTTCCTTCCCAAGGACTAGCCATTCCATTAATGAATTTACAAAGTTAACATAGCATATGTCTTCCAAGCCAATTTCTGAGTAATTCCCCCCCAAAATAAGTCATTGTTTACTGTTTTCAACCTGCACTATGAAATACTGTGAGATTCTATCCTGTGCTGTTAGAGTACATCCAGACTCCAAACTGGCAAACTAAGTATTTTCTCTTCAAGGACATTAAGACGTCTACATTTAGTTCAAAATATTAGCTCTTACAAAACTGATGCTAGTGAGTATTATTTAAATTTTTAGGTTACACTTAAACCTTCCTTCTTCTGGTATACTTTATTTTTTTTTCTTTCTTTTTTTCTGGTACACTTTATGTCAGTAATCAAGTGGACAATTTTACTTGAGATCTCTATTTGGTATTTTATTCTAGGTTTTCGAAACCATGAAAATCTACATCTATCATGCTCTTCCAGAAGCACTGAGCATCTTTTTATAGTTTAATAAATTACCTAACTTGACTTAGAACTTTGAATTCTTGCGTTTATATGTAAATATCTATTTTCTTAAAAAGCTTAGTGCTTTCTGGTGGGGCTATTGGGTTTTTTTGTTTTATTAACTAATCCTTAGTCCTCACAGACCTCAAGAGTTCCAATCATCCCCAAAGAATTAGTTGTTAGTAATTTTTGTCATTTTTTATTCACACATTATGTCAGGCAGTAACTGAACTACATAACATTGACTTTAATAGTCTCTAACCACTAATAAGCGAGACTGTTTTCACTTGTACTCCAATACCTGACATACCAGCATACGTAGACATAGTAATATATAATAACCTATAATCAGCTTTTTCCCTAAGTTCCTACCCTCAAAATAAGACAAAAAAATAGCCATGCTTGCTCTCTATGGTACTATACCAGTTCTCCTCTTTTTCTGCATACATTTGTGGAAAAATGCATAATTTGTTTTAAAAGAGTAAAGCTAAGAACTGGGGGCATAACTCCAAGGTAGAGCACATTTAGCTTGTGCAAGACCCTTAATTCAATCCCAAGCACCACCAGTGGAAGGAAGGAAGTTAAGGTATGCTCAGATGATACACCAAACAAAAAACAAAGAAAAAGTTACCAAATCTCATTTTTGGTCAGTTTTAAAAATAAAAATTTGTGCAGTATACAAATAGTAAAATTAATGAAATAAGCAGTTTTGCTAAGCAAACAGTACATGGATGGTATGTTACTGTTTTTAAGATTCGACTTGTATTATTTCACCAATAATTATAATGGCAAAGACAATTAATGGACATTCCTGATTTTCTTTCCATCATTGCAGCTATTGTACAGGGAGATACGCTAGAAGACATTTACAACCAAGTGAAGCAGATTATAGAAGAGCAGTCTGGTCCTTACATCTGGGTCCCAGCAAAAGAAAAATTGTGAAGACTGATGTTTCTGTATTTCTCTTTTCCATAATCTCATTTTCTTTGACATGTCTTTGCTCTTTCCTTCTGGAGTCTGTCTTCGGTACCCCTTTCATGTTGATTCATATCCCACTCATTATGGTCTGCACTTGTGCTTAGTTTTTACATCTAGTGTCTCCTTCACATTGTATCATCTGTATTATTTTATGTCACTCTTGGTTTGTGGCCATTTTTCAGAACTGAAGATGGATGACCTGATCAGCTATTAAGGGTTTAGGGAGATGTGGAAATTGTGGTAGAATTCCTTAATGTTTAAGGAAAAATAACTTTAAAAGATTTTCAGAAAAGCTTTACATACATTGTTTTAAAATTTTAATACAAGTGAAAGAAAAGTGGTTTTAATCAGTGATTTAGAAGACTTTAAGCAACTATGCACGCTTAACTTTAATAGCATGGTTTGGCCATTGTATTAGTTCTCAATCCTTTTCTCAATTGACTTCTGTTATTAAAGTAATTATTTCATTATAACAAAAAAGAAAATGGTTTTTTATTTCAAAATTAATCTCTGAGTTAACTTTCATAATTTCACAAAAAAAGGATATTCATTTTTCATAAGAGTTCTTAAAAGTCTTTTATTGTTTGAAAGATTTCCCCAGTACATTTGCTAGGAATAACAGTGTTCAAATGTTTTTAATCTCCTTGTACAGCACTACTTATAGTGTCTTCAAAAGTGGTTCATGCATAAATGATCATCACATTTTCTGAATTCAGGCCATGTTTAGGTGCTAGGGGAGTTCATGTTTTACACAGAAGGTAGAGAAGATTTCATACACATAAATGCAGACAAAACAGACACTTCAGTGGAGATGCAGTAATTGTTATGGCAATGAAAGGGAGTCCAATTCATAGCCTAAAACTTTAAATGTACGCTTAGGGCTCAGATTTGATGAGTATTTTACCCACAATAACTGCCTATTTTGTTATAAAATATATATAAATATAAATATATATAAAACTTTCTTTAAACTCTGTAACTATGGGAATTATTTTCTTTACATAGTTGCATACACAAACGTACATATATATATATATATATTTAAAATATATTTTTTTCTTTTGCCACCTACTCCTAACTTTTTTGTTCAGTTTTTAAATTAAATACTAACTGATCAGACTTACCTTCCTTGATCGTGTGACCTGAAAACAGGGGACGGTGGTTGTGAGGAGAAGCCTCTGGGGAAAGTAGGCTGCAGGTAAAAGTGTGTGCATGTTCTCCTCTTTCCTACAGAAGTTTTATAAAGGTTCCTGGGGCTTTTTTTGGTGTTTTGTTGCTTTTGTCATTGTTCTTGTCATTGAATTTGATTTTGGTCCTCTGCCTTTCCTTCTAGTTCTCATTTCATTAACAGGAAGCCAGGCAGAAGCCCAGCAATGTGTGAGTTTTCCCTCAGATACCTTTCATCTTGTGTAGCTTCTCTGCACTAGAATTGCACAGATCTTTATGGCAAGCAGCGTTAGTTGTGAAAGACAGAAATGATTTCAGAAATCAACTTCTCTGGTCTTTTTTATTAATAATATTATTTGGCTTCCCATTGCTCTTTGGAGTTGTTTATTAAATGTGTGGTTTTTGATAGCCTCCTCGTTAAAATTTCTTAAACAAGTACTGGTTTGTAAAAAATTATCAACATTATCCATTCCATTTATGAGAAAGAGGAGAACAGCTAATAAACTTTATTGCAAAATCCATTATGTTAAATGTGTCTTGAATTTTGAAAAAATTGAAAGTTAATATTTTCTTGGGACAATCTGGGGTGTTTCAGAACATAACCTGAATTCAAGAGCCATTAAGCAATATATTAAAGCTCTTAATACTAAATGTAGTGGATTGTTACCCAACACAAACATCTAGAATTGTAGAATCTCAAGAGCTCCAGAAATCACCTTACAGCAAAGTCCTAGCATAAAGTATTGTAAAATTTCAAGAAATTATAAAATTATGCCATTTATGTGTTAGAATCTATAACACATTGCTTTCTGGATGTCTTTATTAAGTTAGTATTATAAGAAAATACTTTTGTGCTTTCTAGATTGTTGTAGGATTATACTGATGAAATTACTAATTGTAGTAACCATGTTAGTATATTACAACAAATTTTTTAAAGGTGTTACTGGCGTTGCTTTAAGGCTTAACTATAGCCACTTGCCCAAGATGACTTAGCTAGTAAGTGGTGGTGCTTGGTGTTCAGATCCAAGTTTCTCTGCCTCAAGTCTTGTTTCTTTTCCAGTATTCTATACTGCCTCATTTTTAGCCCTGTACTGTGTAAAGCACCTTGACTTTTTTTTTTTTTTGCAGTACTGGGATTTGAACTCAGGACCTCACACTTGATAGGCAAGCAAGCCTATCACTTGGGCCATTCTACCAGCCAGGCACTGTGACTTTGTTACTTTAGCACCCCTTTCCAGATAAGGAAAGCGATTTATAGATACAGATCCTGACCCACAGTCACACAATAGTAAGGATAGACCTATAGAGTAAGTTACTCCTATCACAGCTGAAAATATTGTTTCTGGGAAACAAGTCATAATGACATAAAAGAAGGTACCACTTTAGAACCAAAATTGAAACAGTATTCATTAGGAGAAAGTCCATTCAAGTGATAAAAAGTAATACACAGTTTCATATGTTTTATATATACTTCATATTTTATATCCCTCTTAATTGTCCTTCAGTTGGGAAAAAATGCCTCTTGGAATGTGGCTGGTTACACATTTCTGGTTGCTTTCCTCTTCTGTAACTGCTTAGGGCTCCTCAGTAAATGATAGAAGCAGAGCTCATTCAAGCAAAATGCACTGATTAACAAGTCTGTGCTGAACACTATGTAGTACTTACACTCCAATGGTGGCAGTTTGGGGGGCTTTAATAATGAGCAGATTTTGTTTTCTAAGCTATTAGAGCAAACAGTTACCTTCCACAATTCTCTTCCTTGAATATCATTATGGGTTGTGAAATGGAAGCCCAGAGATTCCCACATCATAACCAATGTTATGCTGCAAGTTGAGAGCACAGCCAAGATTAGAACATTTAACTGCTGGCTCCTCAAAAATAGTGTTCTACCATGCCTGTTCCTTTTCCTTCTATGCTAAGAGCTGAATTTGCTGGGTTGTTCAATCCCCAGAGATTTGAATTAATACCAGTAAATTTAACCTAATTCATTGAGGAATCTGCATTTTGAAAGATTCCAGAGAAAAACACAGGTGTCATTTTCCTGGGCCCAAGTTAAGACTGTGTTTTAATCCAGTATTAGGGTTCTATTTATCTCCCTCCAGAATTGCACAGTACAAGTCTCACTGTCTTTGGCAGCAGTAGGTTATAACATGAAGAATATGGGTAGTGGAATCAGCCAGGTTTGAATGCCAGCCAGCTCTGCCACTTACAGGTTATGTAGCTAACCTTGAGTAAGTTGCATCATCCTTTTTATTGTTTACTTATCTAAAACACAGATGTTTTAAAGATCAGTATGATAATAAATACAGGAGTCTAGCACAGAGTATACTCTAAAAATTCCCTTTCTCTATGGAGTCAGAAACCTGGAAATGTTCTTCCTTACTTTGCATAGATTAGCCCAACCATTATTTTTGCCATAGTTGAAATAGAATTTGAATTCCTTATATGACTGTTACAAAGGTTCAATAGTGTACAAAACACCATCCATATCATTGATACTTGGCATTCAATACCTATCCTTCCCCTTATTCTGGAGTGTATTTATGGTTGAGAATGTGCTTCACAATTCTTCATAGCCTATAGAGAAGTTTTCTTTGACAGAAAAAGTTAAGAAATTATTTAGAGCACCCTCTCTTGGGACTACTCCCAGCTCTAGGAGCTCTACTCTTTGCTATGTTTCAATAAACTCCCGCTTTACTCTCTCTCATTGTCCATGATTTTCATTCTTTGAAATTTCGAGACAAAAGACTCTGGGCACAGACAGAGCAAGTCTGGTAACATATTTGGTGTGTCGGCCTGGAATTGCATTCATCACACTCATGAGACAAAGAACTCGGCATGAGTCAGGAACCATCTGCCTCTGCCGCAGAGCTAAAAAAGAGCTATGAATCTAGCCAGCGCAGCGACCCTGCAGGGAATCCTGACTTCATCAAAAGGTAAAAAATAACTGGATATCTCCTGGTCCTAGGAAACTAAATTTCCTGCCAACTAAACTTCCCCTGTCACCTCTTAGTTTAAGATAAAAATGAGACCCTCAAATAAAGACTTCCATCTACTGGGGACCCTTAAGTAGGCCTCTGTGAAAAGGCCCTGACTGCTGTCTACTACCAATGCCCCTTTCTAACTGGAAGCAGCCAAAACAGTCATCATCCCTTTTCCCTCACAGCACTTCGGGTTACTTCTTCAAGGGGGGGAGTGAGCAATTAGGCTAGACAGCTGAAATTAAAAGACAGCTAGAACAGAAGGGCCCCTAGAAACCTCCATTATGACCTCCCTGTGACCTTAAAGTCTGGAAAGAAGGAAAAGCAGAATGGACCAGAGTGAGGACACTAGGGCATGACCAATCAGAATGTTGCAGGCACAGCCAACCAGGATACTGCTTTCTGGACACCTAATTAGCATAGAGATTGGACCATGTCACTGCTTAGGCACCCACTTTTGGGGCCCCTCCCAGCTCTGGATACTCATATTTTTCTATATCAATGAACTCCCAACTCTGGATATTCTGATATTTTTCTATCTCAATAAACTCTCCTGCTTTATTTGCAAAAAAAAAAAAAAAAGTTATTTACATTCTACTCTATAACCATGTTCCCTTATCTTTTCTAAAAACCCCTATTTTTTATCAGAGATGCTTTGAGTTCTAACCCACCCTCACCCAAGTTCAAACATGGAACTGGAACACATCTGAGTTTTATAAATCATCCTCATGTCTGTACAACTGGAAACCCAATAGACTCTAGCAGTTCTCCAGAGCATTAATTGTTGAGAGTCTAGAAACAGGCTCTTTTTACAATAGAGTAAAAAATGTTTACTCAGTAGAGTAAATCACCCAAATAAAGTACTATTTCTTATTCTATTTGACTAAAAGAACAGTAACCACTTAACTCTGATAATGAACTGGATTTCTGTTTCCTGAGTTCGTATCCCTGGCACAGTCAGTGTTCGATAGCACTGGACAAGCAGTTAAGAATTAAAGCAAATTTATGCCACAGACCAGGAGTTAAGAGTAGAGCAAGAACAAAGTTTATTGAAAGGATAGGAAAGCACCCTGATGGGTGGGACTTAGTGAAAAAGCTAAGCCAAAGAATGGCTGAAGTTCATGAGATTAAACAGGCTGATCTTAGGCACCCCTCCCCACTCTACTTTGAAGCCATAGCTATAACTGGCTATCTGATCAACTTATTGCTGAACCCAACCATCTGGCTACCCCTCATCCTTATCAGGCCGGACATTCCAAGAGGGTCTCATTAATCCATCTTGTCCTCAAAACCTGTCATGTACATTCTATAACTACACTCATCATTCTGGTGAGACCCCCTTCTTTGTTTATCTTGGGAAGGTTTGCTATGTTACTCTCCTTTTAGGGTCTATATCTCATCCCTTTAGATGTCTGTGTTTAGAAATGTTTTATCTTGTTTTCCTTATCTAGGAAGAGAAGCTACTGTGCTTCAGCACGTGTGTGAAGAAGCTGGATTCTCAGTTTCCCTAAATGTTTTGCCTTCAAGTATGCCTTCCTATCTCCTCTATCCAAAATAAAGTCACCTCTGCCATCCATCCCCTCACATCCCCAGGATTATTTCTGCTGTTTGTTCCTTTACATCTCCAGGGTTGCCATTTGTTCCTAGGGACATTTCTGCCACTTTATTTCCCCTCACACTTGTCCCCTTACAACTCTACTTTCTAATAAACTGTGTACCACCAGCTCTTTCTCCATTCCACCTTTAAATATGGTTCCCAGTGAGCTGGCAAAACATCAAATCCTGTTCTGCTGAGCAGCATGGTGAACAGAAGTGGAGGTCAAGTAACTTGACATTGTTGTTTGAGATTTTTGGGAACTGGTACCA